GTGGTGTGTTGCTGTGCAATCCGTTCAGTGGGATTTAGCATAATTTTGGTAACGGAAAGAATTTGCCAACTTTGCTCACGGGAGACCAACTAGATGCAAAACTTCTAAAAATGAAATATTTTCTTGCTGGTGCATTGAGTCTGTGGAGAAGCTCATGGTGCACATTTGAAGGAGAAGAGGGATTGTATGAGTGGTGTTAATGGGAATGTTGTGCTCTGAAAAGCTCATTTGGTAAATGGGGCTCACCTCAAAACTATTATGGCAGGATACGGGGGCCTCTCTGCGGGACTATTTCTAGAAAATGAGATTAGAAATTATAAAACGCTGCTAATGCCGGGGCACAGTGATCGCAGCGTGGCAATAAAACAATCACGGCAACATTATCCTTCATCTCCCATGCGCTATATGAGCACCCAGTGTAATAGACCCAGCAGCTGAAGTGATGGAGCCTGGTAGCGGCCCCACCAGCTGATCTCATTCACTCTAATCAATACTGGAACCTACTCTGCCTAGACTGGGTGGGAAAACAGCTGCACGGAACAACAAAACTTCACCTTGTGTCCTCTTTAACTGAATCTGCTGATCCTAATTTATCTAACCTCTGCGCCAGTGGCTGTTAATCATGTTGTCATCCAGACTACAGGTTGTTTTTGAGAACGACAAGTTGAGGCTTGCGTGACATGGATGTTTTTGAGAATATCCATTTTGTTTGAGATGAAGCCCTACCCTTAAAATTATTAGTCAGTTTGAAGCTGAAATGACAACTTTATTATTAGTAGTAGTAGTATTAGTAGTACTGTATAAATGGGGTAAATGTAGGCTTTGTGGTTGGACAAAACAAGTAATTTTAACATAATTTGTATTAGTTTCAGCTTTATTTGAAATAAAGTTGCACATTAAACAAAAAAATTAAGCAGGTGATGAGTGCCACTAGGCGTATTAAAGGTGTTTTGGATAACTAACACCTTATTTTAAACATATTTCTTTCATTCGTCACCCTTCTGCATGCACAGTATGTGTTGGAGGGGAAATAATCATTATTATTGTTGCTCAATATTTTTGATGGAGATGATTTTTGACAAAAAAGACAGCTGCAGCCTGTCCGCAACATGACTGATGGGTGGGAGGCTGGAAAGGAGTGGTCAGAGGCTCTTTTTGGTCTTTTTAAAGCTGACATCATTCTTTACTTCAGCAGGCCACTTCCCGTGACTAAATCAGAGTGTGATTTGGCGTAGTGGCCATAACATTTAAACTAACCAGCCATGTGTTTAGAGTATAACACGGCCTCCTGCCTTTACACCACACAGGTTAAGTCACCACAAACCAGCGTGCCAAAGCTGTCACACCACTCTGCTTAATTTGCGGAAGGCTGGGGTTGTTAAGTATTTACAAGCCTTCAGTGGCTTTATGAATCTATGATGGGAGCGAGCGTTGGTGTTGAGCTCACAGCAGCTGCAGTCGGCTGCCTCATTCGGGAGGGATTGGGAAAGCAATGCAGCTCATCTGCTGCGCTGTGTGAGTGAGTCAGTGGACAGGCTTTATCCGTGGCTAAGGATTTTGGGACTCACTCTGCGGTCACAACCTCTTCCCCCCCTTTTTTTTACTCGAGTGCCATGTGTATGTAGGTTTATATAGATTAAGAAGTCATTTTCTTAGGAGGTAAGCTCAGTTACGGGAATTCGTGCACTTTCCATTAGTCATCGCTGGTTATCTGAGATGACTTTTTGTGTGTGTGTGTGCGGAGAGCTGAATTTGGGATAATGGATGTACAAGGAAGTTCATCTGTCATGAATTCTCTTCAGTGCGATTGTGGTTTTGCTATGGGGAGGTTGGGTAAAGAATGACTGTGCAGTTGGAGAGATGAACTAACTACAGAGCAGCACTGGTTTAAACCCCCAGCTGTGTTGCATGAATGAGTCTCTTGAGAACAGAGAGGGGCTTCAGGCGAATGAAGAAAGTTTCAAAGTTCTGACAAGTCTAGATAGATGTGAAAAAGCTCCCAGCAAACATGACAAATAGTAAAGCTCCTAAATATCTGCTACAAAGTATGAAGAAAGCAAACTTATTTGCATGGTTAATGCTGGGGTAACAAGGTTATGCAGATCAGAAATAAAGTGCGGGTGTGTTAGGTTCAGCTCTATTTTTATACCATCGTTGCTCCGTTTTATTATTTTGCAGCTAATATTTGGAGGCGCATCAGTCCTGTTGTTCTACATAGTCTTACCTCCATATTGTATGTTACAACACCAAGTTTTGGATGAAGTTCCCACACAGTTTACCATAAGCGTGGGCACGTTTAAAACCACAAGGTGCATTTGGTCCACATTTTGTGTATATATGCAGAGAGTGTGGGCAGAGGCATTCGTGCTGAATAATCATGAATTTGTCTTTTTGTTTATACATATTTGATATTGTTTGTTTTATTACACAGTGAATGCACACTCATAAATCATCAAATGAAAAGAGGGAATGAAAATATTGGACAGGGAAAGAGCAACGTGGTCTATAAGCAACATGAAGCTGCTTGCCTATACCGGCACATCTGCTTCCATTTCTGCTTGTGTTGGTTGTGATGTTATGACAGCAGAGGGACTGAGGAGTTTACACTGAGAGGACATAGAGCCCCTCTCTGTGGGATCTCTTTGGGTCAGTGGCCCCGTTTTAGGAACCCCAGAGGTTTTTCGGCAGTGTGTTTGCAGTGCAGCTGTCTTTATTCTGCTTTACATTCTCATTTTTTCTCTCTGTTTGCTTTCAGAGGAAGTTCACTGAAGATCGTTTTTTGAATGGAAGACCTCAAAGAGACTTTTAATCCTTGAAGACCCTGCAAACACCTTATCTTCATAACCCCTTCTGCACACGGCTGCCGAGGTCCTTT